AGAAACTTTAAAGTAAGTGGGAAGGAAGTAAAGGGGGATGAGGCAAGTTTTTTTGCCTTCAAAACTTGTAAATTCCCCCTTTTTCCCCTCATTCTACACCCCTCTCCCTTATTAATAACCTGTTAGGGAACTAGAACAGTGTGGAGCCGACTTCTCTGCACATTTCACTACCCTAGACGCTACCCACAGTTAACGAGCATCCCTCTCCTCTCCCGTAAGCAGAAGATTTCATAAATAGCACAATGCCCACGTATGTGGGAGTATGATTATAATTTTCACTCGTAACGGAAAATGGAGGTAACTCGTATAATTAAATTCTGAATAAAATGTGCAAAGACCACATGGGTGGGGCAGACATTTTGGGAGGGAGGGGCGTGAATCATTAAAATATACAACATTACAGAACTAAAGGATGCTGTGTACTAAACAGTAAGAACAATGGGGCATTATTTGCTACTTGAGATGCTTAAGAATGGTACATATTCTTATTTTAGACTATAAGTGCAGTGATCTAGTAAATGAATACAGCGTTCAAGTAGTGATGCACATGTTCCTATGTATATACATAAACATCTTAGTTTACAAGGGGGTGGGTAGAAGAAACCTTACACATTCTCAACACAACATGCACGCATACTGTATGTCAGCAATCTGCCCGAAATGCTTTGCATAACAGGGGCTATCTAGGAACACTGATACAGATTTGGAATTCCCAAAGCGGTAACGCGTAATTTGGAAGTAAAATTTATATTTGTAGCTCTTATAATCCTAGATATATAACAATAAAAGGAAAGTAGAAGTTCATATACATATTAGATGAGAGGTAGTGAGAGTATCATTAGGGATGGATACATTGGGGGGGGGGGGAAATGTATGGATTGATAGAACCGCAACCGCAGTCATGCACAATACACCTGTCTTGGTCATGCAATTTTGGCAGCAGCTTCTCCCGACTGCTGCTTACTGACTTAGGCCTCAACATGGTGCTTTATTTCTATCCAGCTAAATTCAATGTATGCTACTGCAAGCTTTACAGGTGAATTTTGCTCCGTCGTGGGTTTATAAGGATTGACAATACCATATTTAAAAATAAATATTCACTAGTTGAGTTATGGTATGCGAACGCAGGGGTTGCCAGTGATTCACAGCAGCACATATCTTTAATCTTCCTTCAAAAGGGGTAGCTTACTTCTAGAAAAGGGCTCTTGATTCAAGAAATTGGAGCTGCGCTTTCCTTGGATCAAACCTGATTACCTCCCATTCGCCAGGGTATATTGAACCCCTTGCGGTTTAGCGCTTCCCCATGAATTTAGTAATGTATAACATTTTTAATCATGTTTTCTGCAACGAAAGAAGACTTAAAATTTAATTAACATTTGCATAAACATTCAACGTTACTAACTAACAGCTAGTTAGTAACTCTCACGAGTCGGTTCTTGTGGAATTTTATTATGCAGCTTTGATTTATGGAGATATATACATGACTTGAAAGCAACAGTAAAGCTTAATCTTGCGCTTGAAGTGGACTTTTGGTGTCATAAATGTGTGTATGAATGGTAGGATTGGCATGCAACTTCCCACGTTGTAGCTAGTTATGAGTCAGCCTGGTCCTGCTTAGCCAGGCATGTCTCTGCTTTATTTATTTTTCTTTTTTCTATTTTTTTTTTGTTTGGTTTCTCTAGCCTCGGGATTATTATTCATGTTAACTGGGAAGCGAGAGGTATTCAGATTAACTGGCCTTGAGAAGAATAGTTACAATTGTTTGGATCAAGAGCCTTGCACCAGTATCTAGACACTTTTTTAGTCTAATTACGTGGTGTTGCCTGGGGTGGCGTTGTATATCGTGTCATGCCTCCATTATGGTAGCGTCGTGACGCAACAAAAATATTACATGCCATGCAGGGGAATGCTGCAAACTGCACTCTTTAAAGGCTGTGTCTAGATGCTGGTGGCAGAGCTCTTAATACAAGAAGTTGGTGTTAACCCTATCTCTGATCAAGTCTGCTTCCCATTGCGCTCGAGCCCTACGGGTTTAGCTCTCTCGTGATTGTGTTTTTATCAGTGTAATAGGTCTTAATATTAGAGATAATTTAACCAAAGGATATATTAATCTTCACGAATACCTAATAAAAAGGTTCGGGAAATGAAATTGTCAACTAATTAGGCATGTAACATATTACTAATTAAACATGTTAAGTGTTAGCCAGACGTTTTATATTGGCAAAATAGATTTGGTTAACATAAGTAGGTCTTCTAACCTTGTTGAAAACTATGTAGATCAGGGTGGCTGCCCTATGATACTGCATTTAATTTCAGAAATGATTATTTAGCCCCGTGCAGCATTTTTTTTTTTCTTAAATTTAGTTTTCGAGATCTTTAAGGCATGTTATTGCAGCATGATCTACCACAATAATACTCGCCCATCCAATTTCTTGGTAAATCCAGTTTTAACTTAATTGAGCGAGCTGTGACTCACAGCCTATAGTTGTCACGAATCATGTAATTAGATAGGCCAATCAGATATGATAATCACTGTACATATAGACAAACAAAGCAGAATTACTTATTCCAGTGTCATTTTATACACACCCAAGGGAGGGGGAGCAATAGCTGTGACTCAACCCTCTGTAACCACAAATAGGCGAGTGTAACACACTCCCTTTTATGTATTAATGCAAAGCCTATGCATCGTTTTAACCATGACAGCTGTGCTTTGGAGAAGCAGCCAGAAAATGAGTAATTGTAGATGGGTATTTCTCCCCCCTCTCCCCTCCAAGAGTTGTGTTGAATATTAATTTGGTGTATGCAAATAATATATTAAAAGTAATTGCTTTCTTTAATTTCTCTCATATTTATAAATGTTCAAAGGATACACAGAAATCTTTAGTTCAGCTTATTTCTATGCTTATGCTTTAAATAATAAAGCAAATTTAAAGGCTTGTACAATAAATAAATTATATTTGGAGCTGCATTATTTTCCATTGATAGTGTGTGTTAAGGGTTTTGTTTCATCATAAGGCTTGTATTCTTTTTGTTTGTAAATATTCGTGATGTGAACGATGATTCACACCTCCCCAGCGGTATTCAAATTCAATTCAAATTCAAAGTTTATTCTCTATAAAGATTACAATGTTGAATTTACAGAATTTGGTTGTTGTGTGGTTTACATGTAGTTAAATAATGATTACAGAGTGTACCACTACAACGCCTAGCATGGCTAGGCATTTCGGGCAGACTTAGTTTAATTCTTTATTTTAAAATATTACAAATTATGAGGTAAGTTGGTATTATGGCTAAGTGACTAAATACTAGTTTGTGAGTTTAGCAATGTGAATGCTTTTGTTTTGGCACAGTACATAGTTTCAGTATTGGAGTATCATAGGATTCATTATTTTAAGATTGAGATTAATATTTCTGTTTATGGTCAAATGGGTGAGTGTAAGTGTGAACCACCAGGTGGTATTCGTGTAGTTAGTTGATGGGGTGTATCAGGGAGATAAGATGTTTTCTAATGGTAGTTTTGAAGGTGATGAATGTGTCTGCAGTTTTGGAATTTTCAGGTAGGGTGTTCCAGATTTTAGGGCCTTTGACATACATTGAATTTTTGTAAAGGTTTAGTCGGACACGGGGAATGTCGTAGAGATGTTTGTGTCTGGTGTTATGCCTGTGGGTTCTGTCACAACTATCAAGAAAGCGTTTTAGGTCAAGGTTGATATTGGAGTTTAAGGTCCTGTAGATGTAGATTGCACAGTAGTAAGTGTGGATGTACTGAACAGGGAGTAAATTTAGATCTATGAAGAGTGGGGGGGGTGTTGCCAGGGATGGGATTTAGTGATTATTCTTACTGCAGCTTTTTGTTGGGTTATTATTGACTTTAGATGTGTTGCTGCAGTTGATCCCCAAGCACAAATAGCATAGGTGAGGTATGGATAAATAAGTGAGTGGTATAGTGTGAGAAGGGCATTTTGCGGCACGTAGTATCGTATCTTGGAGAGGATCTCAACTGTTTTGGATACTCTTTTGGTTATGTGTTGGATATGGGTGCTGAAATTCAGGTTGTTGTCAAGGTATAGGCCTAGGAATTTGCCCTCATTATGTCTTATAATTAGTGTTGTCAATCTTAATGTTAATTTGTGCATCTCCTGCTCTGCTACCAAACATAATATAGTAGGTTTTGTCAGTGTTAAGCGTAAGTTTATTGGCTGTCATCCAAGTCGATATTTTGATCAGCTCCTCGTTAACAATGGTGTTGAGGGTGGCAAGAGTAGGGTGAGAGATGACATAAGTCGTGTCGTCAGCAAAGAGAATGGATTTCAGGTGTTGGGATACGTTTGGAAGATCATTGATGTATGAGGAAGAGCAGGGGACCAAGGACACTTCCCTGCGGAACTCCAGTATCAAGTGGCCGTGTTGTTGATGCTGTGTCTTTAATGGTAACATACTGATACCTATTAGTAAGGTAAGATTTGAAATAAGCAAGCGCATGGCCTCTTATACCGTAATGGTCAAGTTTGTGGAGTAGGATGTCGTGGTCTACTGTGTCAAAAGCTTTTCTTAGGTCAATAAAAATTCCTAGTGGATATTCCTTATTTTCCAATGCTGTGTAAAGCAGATCTAGCATTTTTATGATTGCATCATTAGTGCTTTTATTTTTCCTAAATCCAAATTGGCAGGGGTTGAGTATGTTTTGTGCTGTTATAAATTAATATAGTCTCCTGTGCACGAGTTTCTCGGAGATTTTGGATAGCAATGGTAAGTTTGATATTGGCCTATAGTTGTTTAAGTCTGTAGGGTCACCACCTTTATGTATTGGTGTAACCCTTGCCATCTTGAGTAGTTTCGGGAAGGTGCTAGTTTCTAGTGACTTGTTAAAAAGTAATGAAATAGCATGCGAAAGGATATGGGCCGCTCCTCTCCATCCTTCCCTTATTCTTTTTTTCTCCGTGCCTTTTTTCACCCTCCCCTTCGTCAATGACTTAACGTGATTTTTCCATTGGCAGATGGGGATACCAATGAAAAACAGGAAGACGAAGATAGAGAAGCCCAGACCTCTTAAGATATGCACCTTAGGGGACCAGTCCAGTGAGTACTTCTTCATGACAGGAGTCTTTTCGAATAAGATGGTGCTTACTTTTCATGAGATGTATATTATCTTTTTCCAAAATAACTCTCAAATAACTATACTTAAAAATTAATACATATTGGCAGTCTCTAGTAATACAGTGATGGAGTGAGCGATGGTAAGTGTTTTTTTTCTTTATCGGGTAGCCCTGTGTTTAAAAAATATCGCTACATATATACTACTTTTTAATAAATACCTTGGATTTTTTTAAATTATGAAATGCATGTATAAAAAGTAAGTGATATTTTATTTGACATTTTATCCTCATTTTCAGATTAAGATAAGGTGTTGCTGTTGACATCTTGAAAGATTTACAGAAATTGTATTTTTCAGACTTGCAATATTGCCATGTCTGTTCGTGATATATTGTTCAGAAAGTTTCAGGCGTAGGTCTAGTGCAAAGAAGTTAGTTTTTTAGTGACCGAAGACTGGATTTGAACTTGACTGGGTTTGAACTTGACTGGATTTGATTAAGCAAAAACACTAGACATATTCTTTAGCCTTTATGTAGTACATCACATATTTACAGCTTCCTTTTTTTTTTTTTTTTTTAAATTTCAATAGTGGAAAGTGTTCTGTCGGAAATGGACCTCGTGGCGCAGTATCTTAACTCCTCAACCTGTGACCGAACTGTTTACCCAGCCATTGTTGCACTTTGTGAAAACCTGAAGATGTTTGGACCACAGCTAGAAAATGTCTATAAAGGTAGAGGAATCAATGTTAAAAATCTTAAGGAAACAATGGTTAAATTGCCCCTGTATAAATGTGAATTTTACTCATTCTAATGGAAAAGTTTTTGTAAAATACAAAACTAATTTTCATAAATTTATTATTTGTTTTTTTTTTAGACTTATATTCGAAACTTTTTTTTTTTTAATAGATCAACTTGATAAATGCTATATATCTCTCCGAAATGGTTGCCGTGATGATCGTTTGAGTCTAGCTGCTCGGTATCGCCTTCTTGAAGTGATAGAACTTCGAGCAATGCATTGGCAACCTAATGAGAACCTCATCAATTATTACAAGCAAAAATTGGTGCAGATAGAGGTAAATTGTATAAATTAGCAGGTTTATGATTGGCAGAAATAGCTTTTAGGCATTCAAAATTTAGTTTAACATGTTTGTTATTCACCCCATACCCATCCTGTGGGCGGTAGTCAAAAGATTAGAGATGCATAATGGGTCCAGGGACCGAGCCCCAAAGTTTTGATAGCTGAGCAAGTTACAAAAGTAATGAACGTAAAAAGACGTAAAAAAAAAAAATCATTCAGCATCTTGATTCTTATATGGAAGCAGTGGTGAATGACACCACACATTGTTCACAATGATCACATGGTATATACAAAAAAAAAAAAAAGTGGGCATATCTAAGATTCAGTTATATCCCATTCTGTATTATCAAATCTTGTGCCACTCTATCTATACATTGCACATGGGATTTATACATGGGGAACATAAAATAACTGTCGTGAATCGGGCAAAACATGCCTTCCTAGTACTCGCCAAGAATTATTGTGGGATACTGTATACAGGGAATAACCTGCAATCATTCTGTCATTTTAATCACGAATGTAAGTAAGTTGATTTAGGTACATGTGGCCTGGTGGCTAAAGCTCCCGCTTCACACACGGAGGGCCCGGGTTCGATTCCCGGCGGGTGGAAACATTTCGACACGTTTCCTTACACCTGTTGTCCTGTTCACCTAGCAGCAAATAGGTACCTGGGTGTTAGTCGACTGGTGTGGGTCGCATCCTGGGGGACAAGATTAAGGACCCCAATGGAAATAAGTTACAGTCCTCGATGACGCACTGACTTTCTTGGGTTATCCTGGGTGGCTAACCCTCCGGGGTTAAAAATCCGAACGAAATCTTATCTTATGAGTACAATTATCATAGTGCAAATTGCCTAGGATAACCCAAACAAGTCAGTGACTTGTTTCCATTGGGGTCCTCGTGTGCCGATAATAGCTACTTGGTAACTACATGTACAAAGCCTTGACCCTAATTAAAAAAATATGTAATTTTAATTAGGATAAAAAGGTAAAATTAGAGATGGTAAATAACAAGGACTTTCATAGGTAATATTTTTGTCAGGATAATTGAAACCTTCATTCATCATAATTCATTTTCAGGCCGAGGAAGCAGCCCTTGAGGATCAACAGAATGATTCATTGAGCCAGACAATACCTAGTACCATCATGACTCCAACAAGCACTCCACAAATGATGATTCCAAGTCTTCAGCAGTACCAGCAGACTATGTACAACCAACAGCAGTCACCCATACCACATCCACCCACACCCACACTTCTGGGACCTGGAGAGATCATCAGGAGCTCTGGTAAATTTGCTAAGCCAACTAGAATCCCTGGAAAGAACTATTGCAAAGATGAGGTAGTGATTCGTAATGCTGATTCTGGCAAAGGTAAGCCAAAAATGTTGATTCTGTATTCATTTTGAGAAGTAATGAAGCAATCTTTAATAGGATTATAATGTTATATTTTATATTAATAGAGGTAAATGAATTTGATGAGTGCACTATTAAAATTTAGGTGCATAACCATCTGACTTCTGTAGTACTATTATGATTACTTTTCTGCCTTATGTAATACAGTACATCATGCAGTAGAGCATGTACAGTATTTATGAAAAATTTGCAATCCTTTATTAAGCAAACAGCAGTGCATACATTTTTTTCATTTTATTTGAATTTTGTGAATTAATGGTAAACATTATCCCTTGAAATATTCAGGAGGATAAACTTTATTATTATGCATGATATATATTTTACTGGTTTATGGTGCCTATGAATGTATGTAGTTCATTACATAATTATACTGCATTTGAACACAATGGCAACATCAGTGGACATTAGAAAGGAGGGGAACAGATATTTTATTCCATTAAATATTTTGCATATAAGCATATTAAAAGTATGTTATTAGTATTAGTGTTGTATTTTTTTTTTTAACCGAGTGGCTTATAATATCTCGGTTAAAATATAACGAAGTGCACTAAGTTAAATTTAAGAGTAAAGATCTAGATAGCTACATTATGAGAATTTACTAAATGTCTTAAAAATATTTTGTTCATGTTTTAACTGGTCTCTCTTAAGTAGAAAATGAAGTTTAAGACAGACCCCTAATATGTACAGTATACTATTATGAAGAGCTAGGAAAAAGTCCCATCTTGGTTAGTGGTTACAGCTACCTTCAGTTAGGGAAGGGGGGATTGAGGGCCTTCAATTCAAGGAATTTCAGTTACCATAGACACATCCATATGCATGTATTGAGATTGAGTAGAAAGAGAACATGGCCAGTCGGTTCTGTCAGTGGTAAACTGCAGAATGAGCCATCAACAAAACAAAAACAAAACAATAAAATTTCTTTCTTTCCAAGATTACATTATGATGAAATTACAATGAGTTGCAGTGCAAAGAGAGCCACCGTCATGCCTAGGCATTATGGGCAGACTTAATTTAATGCCTTACAGACTACTTAATACGAAAGAAATTGATCACAGTTTAAGTTGTACATTTTTTTTTTTTTTTTAACAAGTCGGCCGTCTCCCACCGAGGCAGGGTGACCCAAAAAAGAAAGAAAATCCCCAAAAAGAGAATACTTTCATCATCATTCAACACTTTCACCTCACTCGCATAATCACTGTTTTTGCAGAGGTGCTCAGAACACAACAGTTTAGAAGCATATACATAAAGATACACAACATATCCCTCCAAACTGCTAATATCCTGAACCCCTCCTTTAGAGTGCAGGCATTGTACTTCCCATTTCCAGGACTCTAGTCCGGCTATATAAAAATAACCGGTAGTAGACAGTAATTTTACTCTAATTACAATAGTTTTCAGTGATAAATATTGAAATTATGTTATGGGAGTATAACATTGTGAGTTGTTGAAATTAGTTTGCAGGATGAGAATGCTACAATTGGGTGTAAGGCAGTATTGTTTTGGATAGGTATTTATACTACAATGTAGTATATGTGTTAATATTGTATGAACTTTGGGAATCTAGATTTGAAGTTTTAAGATTTAGGTAATTGGGAGATTTTTCATGAAGTTAAATATTGAGTATTGATTGTTGCTACATGTAATGTCTCCAAACTTTAGCCAGTCAGAATTGGGGGCATCCTCAACCCCAGTGTGTCTTGTTCACCAAGACATATGGTGATCTTTCTTTGGATCAGACTTGTCACCCATTCCAGAGATGCTGCATGATCTCTACAGGTTTAAAAATTTCCCATTCAGTATAATTAATTTTTAGGAATACTGTACAATAGTACTATGAAGAAAATGTTTGCCTAAAATATGTGGTAAGAAGGCAATAAAATAATTTGGTTTCGAAAATGCTTTTTTTTTTTTTTAAAAGATGTCTGTAGGTTCAGTTGCATTTTATAGTTTTATGAAGACTTTTATGTTAATGGGTAAGGTATCAGTAGCATTTAAATAATGAAATGATTGCTACTGGTGTAATAATTATTAATCTAACTCTGAAAATGGTTTCCGACACAAACGTGTCTTCTATGATCATTGTTTATCTGGCAACCAAGTTGAATATCTTGATTTCTCCATAACTAAGTTGAAATGTTTATCTGTCAGCTGGTAACCTAAAGTTGACCCACTCTGTCTCCTGGCACAGTTATGGGAATAAAGGGCAGGCGGGTTCACATGATTGAGGAGCTTTCTGAAACCATCATCTCATTCCAGAGAGGTAAAAAAAAAAAAAAAAAAAAAAAAAAAAAAAAAAAAAAACTGATGCTGACCCTCCTCTAATCTCTAACCTACAATGCTTGACTGTTGCTCTAAATTTTCAAATGAACAGTGTATTCCCAGGTGACAGTACAGGTGACAATTTTTTGTGAAGTAATAAAGGTATTTTTGCTATTTGAAAGTTCATAAGTACACCAACTCGGCCAGAGAGTATAGATTTCTGTGAGTTGCCACAACTCGGTTTGACTAGCAAATGAAACCCAATAAGTATGGTAGACAGTTTGCAGAGCAAGTCTTAAAGTTCAACCGCGAACAAAATGTCGTTAAAATAGATGTATGCTCTGCACTATACCAGCTCCTACTGTTGCTCAACCCACTTTTGTGTACCTGTTGAGCAACAGTTGGGGCTGCCTACAATAGAAATCTTTTACATTTTGTGATTGAGTTGGTTTACTTATGGAATTGTAATTACAAGGATACCAGTTCATATTTCAGTATCTGTATGTAGACAGTGACATAAAACAGACTAAGTGTCATTTCAAAAACCTGTAAGTAGGGAGAACTTTTGTTTTATATTTCACCCACAGTGGGAGGAAACATCTTCAAACAAGTTCTTCCTGCCTAGTGTTTTTGAATTACCAGTACTCGTTACAGACTGTTACGTGCTTAATGTGGTGACATTTCCAATTAATTTGTCATACTGGTACACTAAATACACTCGTTCTTTGAATATTGTATTGGCCTCCTTAATTACCTGGTGAGACCTTTTAACCTGATAACCTTTGGAGTAGTTACCAAATGTATAAATGTACCATTCAAGTTTGTTGTACTAATACTGTAACTGCATCCAAAATCTGCAATGCCATGTATATGCATGACTTTTTTATGTTAATCTTTTATCTGTAATTTCCATAGTTTTGTTATTAAGTAGTTGCCTTCCGAGCATTAATAAACTTTGCCTTGTGGTATTTTTAGAAACGTTCATTAATAGATTTATACCAGTATCTTCATCCTTTTAACATACGACTAACTGTGTACCCATAAATAACAATTTTCTTTTAGTTTCAATTTCTTTAGTGTTATTGTTAACTCACTGTTTAGAAATATTGTAGCTGAAACTTAAATTTTTTATGGTGAGGGCTCATAGGTCATTTTTTAGCTATTATATGCAGTCTCTTGATCCTATGCATGGCTATTACTTCATATCTCTAATGCTGTATAAAGCTTAATTCTAGATCTTTTATGATAATTTTAATGCATCATTGTGCTTTCAATAAGCTTGTCATTTTATTGATAAGGTTGCAAATGTAATGTGAAATGTTGCACATGAAGATCGTGAGCTAGACATGAAGGTGAATGAAAGAATTTATGCAAAATATAACACAACTATGTCAGTGATAGAAAAGGTAACAAGTTTACTGATTCATTGGAAGGATAAAGGATGGAGATAAATGGTATAAAATACCAAGATAGCAAAAATAGACAAATGCAGTATAGTGCGATCCTTTATTGACTGCGTTCACCCAAACAGTGGGCTTTATCAAGTCACAAACGGATCTCTCTATGACTTGATAAAGCTCAGTGTGGGCAAAACAGTCAAAACATGATTGCTTTATACTACATTTGTCTATTTTTTTCCAAAAATAAAGGGTTTAATTAAATTCCCTGTAAGGTTTAGGACATGATTCTTGCTGGGAAATGAACAGTGCCTATAGATAATTGTCCACTTAGTTTTTGGGTGTAAGAGTAATTGTTTTGAAAGATAAGTGTGCCAAGTGTTAATAATGAAAGAGTAAAGATTGTAACTATCAGCAAGATGCTAGATTGAGAGGAATTCCCCATTCATTGCTAGGAAATGTTATAAGATTAATCTTTACTTCAAGTTTGTTTGCTTTGTTATTTTGGAGAGTAGAATTAAAACAATCTTTAAGGAACAACATTCCAGGATCAAAGAATGCTTGATATAGCTTCCTAAAAAACCAGTCTTAGACTAGTTTTTATTTTGAGTCAATGTAGATGCATGCTTCCACATTTGTACTAGCAGGGTAAACAGTATTAATACCCTAACTAAAATATAATATATGTAAATATGTACTCTACAAAATATTAATTGCTAATGGTTAAATTATGCAAAGGCATAATTAACTATCATAATCCTAAAGTAAAGATAAACAAAGATACAAGATAATTTGTTAATAAAATACTTCGGAATTGTTACTGGGACTCACCACGATGCAAATAAATAAAACTGACTAAATGATATTTCAAAAGAAATGCATATACAGTGTTAATTGCTTTAACTTTGGGGAGCTGCCACTGTCCTATAATTTCAGTATTTGTTCTTTGTTTCACAGTTGCCCCCGGTGCTCGAGAAAGACTTGTTCAGATTACGGGACCAGCAGAGGAAAACATCAAGTAAGTTTTATTATTTAAAATATTTACCCCCTCACTGTCCCCAGGCTACTCTTGTACTATTACACTTGCCTTCCATTTTGAATTCATAATTGCACAAAAATAGGTTTAATGCAGTACTATACTATGTTTAGAAATTCTCCACAAATCAGATTTTCTTAAATACAGAATGTACAATATTTTCTGAAATTTAGAATTCTGAATGTATTTTTAAATTTTATTTAAAAAATAATGTACAGTAATCTCATTTTGAATTTGTTTTCCATAAGATATTTCCGATTTCCTTGATGGTATGGTATACTGAAATTTCTATGATTTAGACACTTTCTAGCAAGAATTAGTCCAAATAGGAGAAAAATCACTGAACGAGGATAATTTGGTTTAGGATTGTTGTGGTGCTGTGTAATGGAATCTATTGGTGGAGGTATTGTCTGAAAACTTGTCTATGTCATCAAATGTGTCATGTCTTTTAATTGCATTAGTAATTAGTTGTGCTTTTCTTTTTAATGCCATATAAGATTTCTTCATGGGGAAGTGGAAAAGAATTCATAAGAGGCGATTAAAATGCCAGAAGCATTGTATAAATTACTAAATGTAGAAAGAAGAAAAACCTTATGAAAGAGTTTTTTTTTTTTGGGTCATCCTGCCTCGGTGGGAGACAGCTGGTGTAAAAAAAAAAAATGAGTTGACTGCTGAACTTTTTCTTTGGCAAGCCAAGCTAAGCATCTCATAGAGGAGACAATAAGACGCAATGCCTCTCCAGTCCGAGGCGATGAAAGAGGATCCATCTTCACTACTCTTGGAGGATCATCATCATCTATCTCGTCCCATACCTCTGATGAAACTCTGCAAGGTAACCATCTTAATATTTCTCATTACCATACTGAAATACATGTATGCTATCTGTGTTCTTGCAGTTTATATTTTCTATAGTTTGTTTAATTTTTCAATACTAATTAGACTTCAGACAGCAATACCATACTTCAGTACGTTGAAATAACTACAAGTTAATATTATCATTGTTAACAAAATTAACACTTAACCATTTAGTGAAAAGCCATCTTAGTATCTTACATTAAAGTATGGTAATCTCTTTTGTATCGCTTAAATTTAGTTTTTAAGTACTTCGGCATATGAATAAAAAAATTTCGGTCCTTTACTCAGTGCTTCGGAAGTATCTCTCTCTTGATGAGATATCGCTCAGTAAGTTATTGCCTTGTTAAAAGTTTCTTGGTAATTTGAGATGCTTAAATTGTTACCAAAATTATTGTATTATGGCTGCTAGAGTGGAGGGCTAAATGAGCCCTTTACTCCACTCCACTGCAGTCAAGTTGTAAATACTGTAGTAATTTAAAAAAAAAAATTGTAGAGTGCAGCTTTGCTTGTTTAATACAGTAGTCATTACAGTTTTACTATTATTACCTGAAAGTGGGGTGGTTTTTAATTATTCTTTAATAATTGAAAGAAATGTATGATGAATTATATGAAATGTAGGCATTCTATTGTTTGTGATGATTCTGGCAAAAAGTGAAATTTTTTTCTATGCTGTGCTTATAAAACAGTAAATTCTTACAGCTTGTAAGATTTTATAGTATTTATGAAAACAGAGGGTATTTAACTGCCTTCCTTTCTACATAAGAGGAATTACCAGCATCCCCCAGGCTGTCTTCAAGGTAGAACTTCGTGAGTGCCTCTAGTTAATTTCGCTTTTTTGTTTTTTTATAACCACCCTGAGGCTGAAGTACTTTGACATCCCTGCAGCTCATTTCTTTAATTTTCATACATGTTTTTGTGTACCCATTTCATGCCAGATATTTTTGATGTTCATTCAGAAATCCCTGAGCACTTTAGTGAAATTAATGTGCATGGAAAAGTCTTCATAGTGATGCCCTCTTAAGGAGGGCACATTTCCAGAAGGAACAAAGTAGGAAAGATACCCTGTACTGTTTGGTTTGTCTAAAATTTGTACAGTGTTATAAAAGTACAAATTGTTTTCAAAGTATTTTTCTCTACTGGTTCTCGGCGTTCAGGCTCGAAGAGGAACACCCTTGTCCACAGCCAGTCTATGGGAGATGACCCCTTAGGAGAATATCGCTACACTGTCACCCATGGAAGCGATGTTCTGAGGATCACTGGAAATAACTTGCATCTTGTCAGGGTTGGTATTTCTTTTTTTTTTTTTTTTTTTTTTTTTAAATGATTTGAGTCCTGGAAATGGGAAGTACAATGCCTTCACTTTAAAGGAGGGGTTTGGGATATTGGCAGTTTGGAGGGATATTTAAACTGTCGTATCTGAGTGCCTCTGCAAAGACAGTGATTACGTATGAGTGATGGTGAAACTGTTGAATGATGAAAGTTTTTTTTTCTTTTTGGGTTTTTCTTACTTTCTGAGTTACCCTGCCTTGGTGGGAAACAGCCGATGTGTTAAAAAAAAAAAAAAAAAAAAAATTGGGTATTTTGGCACAGTTTTCCATGGGGAAGTGGAAAAGAATTCTTCCTTCATAAGCCATGTGTCATAAGAGGCGACTAAAATGCCAGGAGCAAGGGGCTCGTAACCCCTTCTGTATAAATTACTAAATTTAAAAAAAAGTTTTTTTTCTTTTTGGGTCACCCTGCCTTGGTGGGATACAGCCAGTTCATTAAAAAAAAAAAAAAAGTGGTACCTTGACTTAAGAGTTTAATTCGCTCCGTGACCGAGCTCGTAACTCAACTTCCTCTTATATCAAATCGATTTTCCTCGTT